ACATAAGAATCGCCTGACATCTTTAGTTCTTCTTATAACTGCGTGTGTATTATCAATTTTTGTTAGTTCAATGTTGTTCACCAAATCTGGCTTAAAACTTAAATATATGTTTTAATACACTTATATTTCATATTAGCATATGCCTAATTGGTATTTAAAAATATACCACTGCTGTTTTTCCTCATTTCTTCTTTATTTTTTTTATTATATTATTCGCAGATTATTATGTCATATAAGCTATTATAATGACTTTTCCGTGACATCCCCCAACAGTTGTGCTGGTTCAATTTGATGAAGTTATTGCAAATTTTAATAGTGATGAAGCAATGCCAAGAGATAGCTAATTCCACCAGGAAACATATTGCTATCTATATTTTGAAAACTGATGTAACTACTGCTTGGCATCAGGCTGTCTGAAGCAAGCTAGGATAGGTTTGCTCATGTGGGACCGACGGGGTTGCCCATATTCTTTTATCCTCATGTGAGTACTTTTATATATATTTGCTATAATCAAGAACAAGTGATTATATGTAATTCTTCAATCAAAAAGTTGTTAAAGTTAAAAACATCATACGTAAGATCATATTTTATTAAAATATCCTTAATTAAGGTTTCAGGATAAAAATATGCTCCTGATGTATCCGTTACCCTAGACAATATCTAATGATGATCATTTCTGAGATACTTATTCTTTCTTGTGATTTTTTAATCTTTCTCTGCTATACAGGAGACTAGATGTGCAAATTTACATCAATCCAAAGGATGTTAAGATTATAATAATGATCATTTCTGAGATACTTCCTTCTTGTGATTTTTTAATCCTTCTCTTCTATGCAGGAGACAAGATGTGCATATTTACATCAATCCAAAAGATGTTGAGATTATAATAATGATCATTTCTGAGATACTTCCTTCTTGTGATTTTTTTAATCCTTCTCTGCTATACAGGAGACAAGATTTGCATATTTACATCAATTTAAAAGATATTAAGATTATAATAATGATCATTTCTGAGATACTTCCTTCTTGTGATTTTTTAATCCTTCTCTGCTATACAGGAGACAAGATTTGCATATTTACATCAATCTAAAAGATATTAAGATTATAATAATGATCATTTCTGAGATACTTCCTTCTTGTGATTTTTTAATCCTTCTCTACTATACAGGAGACTAGATGTGCATATTTACATCAATCCAAAAGATGTTATGTTTATAATAATGATCATTTCTGAAATACTTCCTTCTTGTTATTTTTTAATCCTTCTCTGCTATATAGGTGACAAGATGTGCATATTTACATCAATCCAAAAGATGTTAAAATTATAATAATGATCATTTCTGAGATACTTTCTTCTTGTGAATTTTTAATCCTTCTCTGCTATACAGGAGACTAGATGTGCATATTTACATCAATCCAAAGATGTTATGATTATAATAATGATCATTTCTAATATACTTCTTTCTTGTGATTTTTTAATCCTTCTCTGCTATACAGGAGACATATTTACATCAATCCAAAAGATGTTAAGATTATAATAATGATCGTTTCTGAGATACTTCTTTCTTGTGATTTTTTAATTCTTCTCTGCTATACAGGAGACAAGATGTGCATATTTACATCAATCCAACAGATGTTAAGATTATAATAATGATCATTTCTGAGATACTTTCTTCTTGTGATTTTTTAATCCTTCTCTGCTGTACAGAAGACAAGATGTGCATATTTACATCAATCCAAAAGATGTTAAGAATATAATAATGATCATTTCTGAGATACTTCCTTCTTGTGATTTTTTAATGCTTCTCTGCTATACAGGAGACAAGATGTGCATATTTACATCAATCCAAAAGATATTAAGATTATAATAATGATCATTTCTGAGATACTTCCTTCTTGTGATTTTTTAATCCTTCTTTGCCATACAGAAGACAAGATGTGCATATTTACATCAATCCAAAAGATGTTAAGATTATAATAATGATCATTTCTGAGATACTTCCTTCTTGTGATTTTTTAATCCTTCTCTGCTATACAGGACACATGATGTGCATATTTACATCAATCCAGAAGATGTTAAGATTATAATAATGATCATTTCTGAGATACTTCCTTCTTGTGATTTTTTAATCCTTCTCTGCTATACAGGAGACAAGATGTATATATTTACATCAATCCAAAAGATATTAAGATTATAATAATGATCATTTCTGAGATACTTCCTTCTTTTAATCTTTCTCTACTATACAGGAAACCAGATGTGCATATTTACATGAATTTAAAAGATGTTAAAATTAAAAATAAAGATGAGAATTCTTCTACTATTTGTATTATATCTGTTATTTCAATATTATCTACTAAATCTGATATCAAAAACCTTTGAACATATAATTTCTATTGTGCAATATATTTTATATAAAACATTGAAGTATTTCAAATTCAAAAATTCAAAATGTTGCTCTTATTTTTAGTAGACTTGTTTAATAATGTTTCTAACGTATAGTAATACAAAATGTTAGGTCTTTTGAGTTTTATTTATATGGTTAGAACATATGTTAATAATATATATTTCAATTACTAGATGTCCAAATATTTACTATCATATTATAAATATTTTATATCATATAGCAAACAGTGGATCTAAACTTCGACGCATCAAACACATTATCATTCAAAAATGCTGCTCTATCTATTCTTTGTCCAATAAGCTTATACATTTTTAAGTAAAAGGTTCACCTTTACTTTAAAATTACCTTAACCCAAATACGATTTTTGAATACAGGACAATTGACTTATATTCTGCATAATTTTTACATATGCGCTCTGAATATATAAATGTTAAATCAATGAAAGGTTGTAAATACGCAATGTATTTATTAGTAATAAAAACGCAACATGTGAGACGATTGATGAGAAACACTGTATAAATTGTTAATTTCAATGAAACAACTACAATGGGTTTGGCGTAGACAGAATTATGCTGTGTAAGGGATACAAGTAACAATGGTGTCATCGGTGGTTCCAGAGATGATAGGGTTAAACTAAATAAATTGTTCTAGTAACTTTGTAACAAGTTCCAATGTAAGTTTTTAGTCATCATACATTAAACATGGGGACCTTTGACCTCCTAGCTAAGCCCGTATGCAAAAACCATCCCTGATGTGACTACTGAGAATCGATAAATAGTCAAACTTTATGTTTAAACAAAACCGATTTTTTGGTCTTTAATTTTTTTTTTTAACTTTTCAAAGGAGAAGCTTATGTTTTCGTCAGTTTAATGTTTCCTCGAGTTAATTAAGTGTGTATAAGAACCAAATTTTGACCTTTCTTTGAGTTTAGCTTAAAAAACGAGTGAACCGATGTCAAAACTTTAAAAGATTAATATTTATAAATTTAAAAGCTGTTTCTTTATAACTGTAAGTTTCTTTTATAACTATTAGTTAAAATCATATAAAAGCAAAATAACTGAACTGATTTTGAAAACTTGAAAACTATTCGAAAGATAAAAATTAGAAATCATCTGATTAGTTTTTGGTAAAGATAGGACAAGCTGTTTCTCCGTAATTAATCGATAAACCTTTGTTTGACGATTTTCATTAAACTTTGTATGTTGATGTCTAATGATCTGAACAGACATACTGAAATATTGTATAGGCCTTTGAGAAATGGTTGAATTTTAAAAAGTCATCAACGTTTGAAATAATAATAATATTATAGAATTACACGTTGCAACTTTGCAAATAATGCAAGAATAACGCTTTGATTAGTTTTTAGTAAAAGCAAAAACTATATTTTCCAAATATACATTTGAAAATTTTATTTATAAGTAATCATCTTATTGATTTTGTCTTTTATAACATGTATCAAAAGTTTTAACCTCCACCAAGTTTTATTTGCCTTACCAGTCGTATTCAGCACTTCATATTTATTTATTTGTTACCGTTTTAATATTTTTCAAACACTTTCCATACCTTTACATTAATTTTCTGTTGTTTTTTATTTATTTTGTTCCCTTAAGCCTAAATGTTTTTTTATTATTTGTCATCTTATATGTTTCTGATTTTTTAGGCCATGAATTAACATGACTTGACCAATAAGAAATTTGTGAATAGTTTCAACATATAATTACCGGTAAAATAACACAAATAATGTTTCATTTTATGATTTTCATTAAAATGTTATTTAATCAGCAGATTCCATCAACAAATATAAAAATCATGCCATTTCTTTCATTCATTTGAGACCTAAAGTAGGTAATTATGTTGTTTAAAAGTAAATAGATTTTATCTATTGGTTCCAAGGTTTCAAGAAAATATCGGAAATTAATGATTAAGCGTTATCGTTTCTGCGATGAACAAATAAACGTAAAAATGATTTTTCTAATAATTTTCCTTTACAAAATAAATAAGTAATGCATTTTGATTGGAAACAAAATTAAATTGTATCCCATAACGATCATAATATGGTGCTATGGAAACGGAGAATATATTCGGCCATTATCAAATAAATAACAATTGACAACACTTTTATGTGATCGATTCCTGAATTTCGTCACATTTGTTTTAAAATATTTTTGTAAATTTATATTAAGATGCAAACAGACATTAGTAAAAATAGAAGATCACTGTATAATGTGGTTTTGGAAAACTTGACAGAGGCCCAACGGGTTTGTACGAGTTTATAATATGTATAATAATTTTTATGGGTTTAAGTAACCATATATCAAATGTTTAACTTCTATGGTGTAAAATTGTATAATCTAAAATAAGTTATAAAAATTATTATATTCAAATTCTTTATTCAGAATCTAATCAGATTCTGAATAAAGTATTTGAATATAATAATTTTTGATGGGGGTGTTTATACACCCTCATATTTTGAAAGAATAATTATTAATTGACTTCTCGAAGGAGAAGTTCATGTTTTAGCCAGAAAATCAAACTTGCTAATTTTAGCTTATGTTGTCTCTTGAAGACCTTCTAAATTGTTTGAAACCAAAATTAGAAAAGAATATCTATGTATGAATGTACGTGTATGAGAGCCAAAATCGGTTTTCTCAAAACCGGCTGAACCGATTACAAATTAATTAATTAATCCCTTTTTTCATAATTAGCAAAAAAAAGGGTGAATATTTTCGCCCACGCTTTATCAAAAAAATCCTGAACCGAATTAAAAAATCTAAAGACTGTTCTAAGGATATCAGGTGGGAATCGTGGCTTTTGGTAAAGATCAGTCGTTTATTGTTGAAAATGTTATTGACGATTTTGATGAAAACGATTGTGATGATAGATTTTATAGTAGTAAAGAATATACTAAAATATGACGTGTCTACCATAAATGGTAATTTTAAAAATTCATCAAGTTTTAAATTAATTGGTCTTTTGGGATATGAGCATCAAGCTTAGATTTTCTTTGACATTTTTTCAAAAACGGCTAGATCGGTTTCAAAAATTTGAAGGCCGTTAGATGAAAAACTATAAGTACTCGTATTGATAAGCTTTTCGAGACGATTGGCCCAGCAGTTCTTTAGAATTGGTTGAAAACTGCAAAAAAATTCTTTTGATTAGGTTCATGTTTCATCAAATCTAATGTTTTGCAATACATATAATTAAGTTGCATTTAAAAATATTTTCGGCGAATGCATTAAATTTAATTTATTTCCCAGAATACTCCTCTACATCGAATGTTTTACGCCGCAGAGCACTTCTTAACCGATGATCGAAAGAAACTGAAAGAATTAGTCGAAGAAACAATTGATGCATTCAACAGAGGCTACAACGACGACGTTTTGACCGGTCTGTTTCTGCACTATGAAAACCACTTTGTGCATATGGTTGAGGTAAAATAACACAAAAAATAGAATATGACAATGATAAAGTTTTGTACGTTAAGGATGCAAGAAATTATTCAAATAATATATTCCTTGTGAAAGGGAAGCGAAGAAGGAATAACAAAACACTTGGAACTGCTGATGAAGACGAATGAGAAAAGTGAGTTTATTGGAAAGGCCAAGATCCTAATGTTCTACCATCATATAACACAGGTGAATAAAATATCGATATTTGTACATAATTAATTATTACACTAATTGTAAGTATCATAGCTTTTGTTGCATCTAGGAATTTCGTTGTAATGATTTTGCTTGGCAACAATAAATATTTAATTCAATAGTTTCCAACGTTCGCAGTGTTTCGCCACCTAATTTTTCTTGGCAAGGGAGGTTGACAAAACAAACATGAAATATCACGTGAAGGGGTATAGTAAAATATAACGTGTATTTGTTTTTAACCTGTATTTAAAAAAAAACACTTAAAAAAATTCCAAAAATTTCGGAATTTTTTAGGTGCTAAAATACGTATTATCACTTCACTCAATAAGTTCGTAGAATAACTAAGAAAAACTCATTTTTTTGTTAAAATTCTTTTTTCTTATTCAATATAGTTTTCTTCGAAAACGATATACCAATTATAGCGACCTTCGAACTTTTCGAAACCATTTTTGTAGTACGATTTGTACTTAGCACAAAATTCGGCCATCGTCTCATAATTTGGCAAAAATTTCTTCAGAGCGAGCATCCTTTTGAGATCTGAGAACTGGATATGGTCGCTAGGGAATCTAGAGAATATAGTGAGTGGAAAAGCGATTCGGAGCCTAATTCATGTTTTTTTGGCCACTGTTAGTACGAATTTGTGACTTGGTGAGTTATCCTGATGGAGCAGCACGGTTTTCTTTCTCAAATGGGGTATTTTTACGATTTTGATCTTCAAATGTTTCAATAACGTTATACAATAGCCACTGTTGATGGTCCAGCCTTTCGCAAGATAGTTGAAGAAGATCATTAATTGTGAATCCCAAAAAAGCTGATGCCGTAACCTTACCAGCTGATTGTTTGCATTTTTTTGGTCATCGTGTCTAGTCCACTCGGCTAGCTGTCTATTTGACTCCGGAATATAGTGTTGAAGCCAGGTCATATCCATGGTGACATATTGATGCAAAAACTCGATTAAACAGCTCCAAATACTCTTACGAAACATCAACACGTAATACTTTTGGTCAAATGTGAGTTTGTGCGGCACTCATTTAGCACAGAGGTTTTTCATATTCAAATATTTGTGAACGATATGTCCAACAGGTTCCATTCATATCTGAAGGGTGTCAGCTATATCAGACTTTTTACTTTTCGGTTTTCCAAAACGTTTCGGTAGACTTTTTGGTATTTTCCAGTGTAACCACCTCTATTGACCTTCCAGAACGTTCAGCATCGTCAATGTCTGTATGGAATAAAATCAGCAAACGACTTCTCCACCATTCGTCTCGATTTGGGACAGTCCAGATAACACTTATCAAGCGATACTTTTGCAGCAATGGTATTGTTACCCATCAAAAAGCAATGATGAATCCCACGAAATTGCTTTGAATTCAGGGTTTCGAAAAAATCTAAAGTAGCGTCACTTGAACCTCCGTAACTTGTAAACTAATCGTCGGATTGTCATGAAATTTGGACATATATCTTCCTAAAGTTGTTGCCTCCTACAAATCTTATGGATTATTACATAGCTACATCATCTATGTGTTATCCTACGGACTTATTGAGTGACGTTATATGTTCGTTAGTGGAGTGAGGGCAATTCTAAATAACACCACGTATCACTAATCGGAAGGGAGGGTCAAAAATCCCTAAAAATCCAGTACGTGATTAATGGACGGTCATCCCCATAAATACTCTAATTCATAACAAGTTAATTCCATAAATAATATATTTTTTAGCGATTTTTTCCACGATGGATATCAGTTGCCGGTAGACCACCTACACTTATCGCAAAACCAAATCCTTCCTGCGATACAGAACAACTTGGAAATCACGTCCTGACCGTATTTTCGAAAATGTACAATCTAGCTGGATATTTTCGGGAATGTCTCGAAAAGTCTGCAGTAAGTTGATAGTAGATCGAAATATCGAAATTATATGATATATTGATCAAGTAAATCAAGTTTTTATACACATCGGGACATTCGTGCAACTTCTTTTTTTTTTCAAGTAAAATGTTATTTACACCTAGTGTTATGATTGGTATGTATCTGTGTTTACTCTATAGCAAACAAACATTTTTTGATAGAATTAGATAAATAATTACTTACATAGTGGTTTTAAGATAAAGTTTTAATACTATATTCATTATAATTAAAATTTATATCAAAATAATTTACAGTATAACGCCATTAAACAATATAAAAATTTCGAACTATTATACAGTAAATAGTGATTCAAGAAATATCCTAGAAATTCAATTAATAGCAAACACCCAATTTTACTATAAAATACTTAGAAATTTATTTATCCATTATCCAGGAAGAATTAAGAGACGCAATTAGTACCGTATCAGAAAAATGTTCTTCATTTTTGCCAGAAATAGTATTGATAGAATTTTTATTGGATCATGACGATATTCCTGAACTGAGAGAGCATGCAGGGCTCTATAAAATAATAGATTTTCCGAAGTCTTTCGAAGGTAATAATTTTTCTCTTGGATTTTCTTCGCATATAAATTATATGTAATTATTATTACAGAATCTGTGTGGCCTATTCCAACTGACTTTGTGCCATATAATGTATTTGAAGGACAATGAAATAAAAAATCAACAAAGTGAAGAGGTGGTAAAAGTCTCGATTCTGCAAGCATTAATTCTTAAATAAAATTTCTATTAAGTATCATTATTTTATATTATTTAAAGTTCCAAATTTAATTAAATATTTTTGATTCCACCAATTATTTTTAACTGTAGTTGTTAGTGGAGTAGCAATTTTCCTTGGCAAGTTGCATGGACTTATAATAACCTTAATAAAAATTCAGAATTAGCTATTTAGATACAATTTTCAACTGTTTATTTAGAAAATAAATTTTTAAGAGTTAATCGAAGTTATTTTCAAAATTGATGTTTTTCAAATAGGGATATAATTATTGTACTGCACAAACACGCCCTTGTATGCCTCAAAAAGCGCGGCTCATTATTAGAAACGCTAATGATTTTTTAGATAATAAAAAAATCACCACAATTAAAAAAGAAACCCCTGTCCGTGTACAAACTGATATCTTGCTATTGGTTTCTAAATTTTCAATCTTGCACTTTTCTGCTAAATTTAAAGAAACGACTCGGCCGATAGTCTCGCAAACATAATCAACGCGATTTTTTTTTATCGAGTTTCATCAGGTTTTTGAAAACCGCTTACATAAACACATGCACACATACTGGTTGCAATTTTGTTCTCAAATCATTCAAAATTAATTTGAATTGATTTGAACTAAGAAAACAAAATTAACAAGTCCGCAAAAACTAACTTCTTCGAAGTTAATAACAAAGTGTCTCTTATATTAGGTTTATTGAATATTCTTACATTCTTATTTTTATTCTGTTTAATATCTTACATTAAAACTTCAATCTCTCTGTTTAACTGTACACTTAAATTACAAGAAATAAACTAAATTATATAAACTGAGTAAGCCCGATAAATTCATTCTCATATATATTTTTTAATATTTCCTTATTGAAGACATACTGTATCTGTCACCATATGTGTTGGAACTTCCCATAATGGAATTTGGTGAAACACCAGGTGGATATAACGGTGCACGCGACCATCTGAAACAAAAAGTATGACTAGGATTGTGTTTATTGTACACTTTTATGGTCCACTAGCATTTACTTTGCTCTAATTATTTTATATGAATAATTTATCAAAACATGCAAACAATACACTAAAATTATATGAAAAACCTCCCAAAAAAACAAATAATATATTCTACTTACTTCTAAAAAAAATATTGCTACTGTAAATTAGTTTTGTGTATGATAAAATAAGTTTGTTTAAATGATTCGTTACGCAATTGGAAATTTTAAATAGGATTTAAGGGTATTAAAATGCAGTATTAATATAGCGTTAAGAGCAGCAAAAAATATCTGGCAAATATTAGATTCAGAGATTAGGAAAAGACAAACTGCTAATATCATGTTGAAATGGACCACTAAGTTTCAAATTATATATAATAGTTTAAATACAAGAAGACTATATACTTCAAGTAAGTTTTCTAAGAAATACTAAACCCCGCGTTAGAATTATCTTATAAAATACTTTATTCAATTAAATTTGAAAAATAATGTATCGACCACTGAATACTTAAATTTGAACAATTTATCACAGAAACTATTGTTGAAAATGATTAGAATTCATGCAAATTCTTGTGTATTCATGTGATGTGCAAATAATGCTGTATGATAAAATCTTAACCTTCCGCTAGACCGCATGAGTAAAACTTTTTAACGAATAGGATCGTATATGTGGATATTTATTTAAAAAACGGATATAAGTGATTATCTATTTTTGTTTTACATCTTTTTTTAAGGCAATCTAAACATCTAAAAGAATAATATTCAGGATTTTTTTAAGACGATGCATTGGGAATGAATGACGGTAAAGTTTATTATTCGTGCAGACTAAGAGTCCGCGTGCATGTAGCGGAAGGTCAATATTGAATCTTATCGCCTTTGTGGAATAAAATTACATTTACTTTAACATCAACATATATGTTTCCCTCTATGTGCACTACATTTTGCGTAATAAAAGCTCGCAAAATCAAACTGTATTAGTATATTAAATAACATTGCAACTAAGACAAAAATATTAAGGTATGTTTATACACATATATACAAAGTATGTATACACACATACAAAGTACCTGTTAGTTCTTTGTTCTTTTTACTTGAATGATTGAAATAGAATTGTGCATAAAAATCAAATTTAATGAATTTTATTTACTATGTTCATTAATTCACAATACATTTCATTAATTTGAAAATATCGAACATAATAAATGGAACAAGCTTTTAACAAGTTTGAAGACATTGGGAGATATATAAGCAGGTGTATCAATGTAGGATGAATGAATGTCATAGCATGTAAAATGTACTGTTTAAGAACTTCCATTAATATCCATAAATTCTACAACTTATGAAATGAGAGTTTATAGCAGAATGTGATGTTATCAGCAGCAATATCACAAAAAAATGTATAAGATATCTCCCAAAAACGCACTGAGGTTAGATTGATACAACATAATATGAACAACAAAAGATTATTAAGACATGTATAACAATATTATAGTTCACCAAAGAAAACAGAGTTTGAATTTAAATAAGCATGTATCTCAGATTTAAAATACAATTATACTCACATAGAACACAAAATTCATTAAAAATAAACTACAACTTAATAATAACTACTTTTCTGGTATGACGACACTTGTCTCTGAACATTGTTATTTCGTGCCTGGGGCATCGTCTTACTGAGATAGTCCCTGGTGAAGGTATTAACAGTTACATTACCCTTGCCAGCCATACCGCTGACCGGATGGCCTTGTTTGTAAATGCTGACATATCTCTCTTCATACCTGTCATTTGAGGATGAATTGTCCACTTGACGCCATGTAGAAGATTGATTTTGGGATGAAGGTTTTGATCGAGAATCATTTGCCCATGGATTATTTGTAACCATATTCTGACCAGAGCCCATGCCTGACCCCGAAGAGCTCATCCCACCACTGCCATAAGGCTTTGAAGAAGATGATCCACCCCCAGAGTGCCATGATGAATTGGGTCGATCACTATAACGCCCATTATCTAACAAGTAAATTATTTCGTAATTAATTACTTAATTCTATATTTGGTAAAACTGACTTTAGTCAGATTGGCATATTTGCTAGGAATATTGCATATTCACTCTGTACCTTTCATACTACTATCAACATATCGGCGTTCTCTGCTATTGCCGCGAACTGCCATTTTTCCTCCTGAAGAAGATCTGTGATCAGGAGTCTCTACAGGTCTTCGGCCTGCATCTCTGTCCCCTCCACCACCCCTGTAAGACATGCCTGATCCGCGATCGGAAGGTCTATCGGCTGAACGATCGGCATAACGACTACAAGTAAAAAGTATTCATGAATAGTTTTATATGGCACCTCAATTATATGTGCTCTAACTGATGGTGAGTTAAACTCGATTCAAGAAAGTATATTATACACTGTAACCAGTGCTCAAAAGAGCAATTTCATCTTCACATCTAATTTTTCATCTTTATTGCCAAGTAAAGATATCTTTGCTCCATATGAAGAAGTTAAAAAGAAAGGAAAGAGTAGTTAGAAAGAAAATTAAAAAGGAAGAGTTCGAAATTATAAAGTATTACTTAAAATTGCACTATATTAATTTTAATTACCTAGAATCCTTTGAACGTGATGATTGCATAGGTCCACCAGAACCTGAATCTTGTCTTGAATTTATATCAGAGTTATCTCTGCCACGATCATCATAATTTTGGCCTGGATATTTCATAAGATTTCCTTGATGAGATGATGAATGACCTGAAACAGTTTTATCTACAAATATATGAAACAATAAAATGATAATAGTCAAAAGTTTTAAAATGTTGAATGATTAGTACAAAAGTTAAAATTAACCAAAGACCATACCCCAAGATAAAAAAATCAAAATAATATATGAACAGTCATGAAAATGAAATTATGTATTATTATACTATAAATATGAAAAAAATTTTTGAAAAACATTTCATGAGTTTTAGAGAATGATTGCAAAAAAAAATAGTGACCTGAAAATAGTGATATTTAAAATAAATTAAAGATTTTCAATATACATGCAATATAAATATGAAACTAAAATTTTTAGTTTTTTTTTTATAGCAAATTAAAACAAATAAATATGAAATAAATATGAAAAAAAAGCATGATGCATGATTATTACCGGACTTACTGGGATGCATCATATGTCCACCACTTCCACTAGAGTGCCTGGGCATTATATCAAAGTCAGAGCCGCGTTTAAAATCACCAGCGCCCCGAGCATCGTTCTTTCGTATGTCATCGCGCTTTCCGCCGTAGTCTCGCTTTTTAGACGACATTAAATCGCTAGATTCTCCGTAATTTCCTGCCCCTGATCTACTTTGTCCCGGGCCCCCAACATTGGTGGACACTTGATCAAATCGCGGTGGTGGTGGTGGTTCCATTCTGCGCTCGCCCAAAGTTGGACGCTTTCGATCGTCGTGACCGGAGGGTATGGATCACGACGGTCTAATGCTGATCGTTTAGCGGCCATTCGAGCCTCTTCTATCCTGCAAAATAAGTATTACAGATATTTGTATTACAATGATATTTTCATTAATACTTTTGCAGAAAATCTAAGAAGTTGTTTGAAGTAAAACTTCTTTAGGCGCGACTAGGGTGTAAACGCGTACAAACACTAGCAGTCAATGAATGTATGTTAATTTTGATTACATGAAATTCTTCAAACACAATTACATGATGAGTGAAGTTGCAAAAACAATATTTGTTTAAGCGTTGTTTAACATAATCCACTGTGTGAACGAATATAATAAAATTTATTAATCAGCAATTAAATAAAGTAAGGTTCATTTCTAAATGCTAATTACAATCTCAACCGATCATGTCATATTTGAAGTATGACTTTAATTACATTATTGTTTTTAAGTATTATACATATTTCAATGCTATTATAATTTATGATTTATCATTATATAAATGTGTATAGTGGTTGACACTAATAAA